ATATATATTGCCTTTCATTGGCTAGATGTCCACTTTAAGATTTTGAACATACTTTCTTATGTATTTTTTTCCTTTCTTTCTTTTTTTTTTTTTTTTTTTTTTTTTTGTTTTTGAGACAGGATTTCTCTGTGTAGCTTTGTGCCTTTCCTGTAACTCACCTGGTAGCCCAGGCTGGCCTTGAACTCACAGAGATCCACCTGGCTCTGCCTTTCGAGTGCTGGGATTAAAGGCATGCGTCACCACCACCCGACTTGTATTTTTTTTCTAAAGGAATTGTTTTATTTTTCACATTTAAGTGTTTGATTTTTTTGTGCTTATGGGATGCAGGATATGTATGTTGTCTTTGTCTAATTGATCTATCACTGTTTTCTGAAGAACAGATGGGATCACGTGAGGAGCAAATGGCAGTGGTATTCCAGCCTGGTAGAGTAGTAGCTTGTGCCTATTGAGGAATGGAATGAGTAGCTCTGTTTGAGGTGAATAGCAGCCGTTAAAAAGTGTGGCACATACGTAACACCAGCACTCGGGGGCCAACACATGGGATCGCAAATTCAAGGCCAACCAGAGTTCATAGTGAGGCCGTTTCCCAAAGAGAGAGAAAAAACAGCTGATTTGTAGAAATGCCTCTCATCCTCACCCTGCCCTGCCGAATAACCCATGAATCACACCTTGAGCAGAGCTGGCAATCCATCAGGTTCCACTACCTCTGCTGCGAAACTGAGTGTCAGCTAATAATCTACTATATAAAGGCCAAGTCGAAGCATCTCTTTGCTTTTATCCATCTTGGACTCCCTATTGCTTTAAATTCTTAAACATACTGCTTTTTAAGAGAGAGGATGCAAGATGCATTTAACACCTTCTAAGAAGGCCTCTTCCTGTCTTCAAGTGTCTGTGAGACTCCACCCTAATTTCTCCTGATGTGTGGCGCATGTTCTCATGTGCGTAAGTGTGATTCCTCAGGTGCTATCCCTGGCCTGGCCTGGAGTGGGGTTCACTGGCCAGTGGGCCCCAGGGATCCTCTGCTTTTACATATTATGAGTGTGTGTCACTATACCCGAAGTCTATCTCCATAGCTCTGGCTGTCCTGGAACTCACTGTGGACCAGGATGGTGTAGACCAGGATGGCCTTGAACTCACAGATGCCTCTGTGTCTGCCTCTGCCTCTTGAGTGCTGGGATTTCACCAGCATACCCAGCTTACAGCTGGGTACAGACTTTACAGACTGAATCATCTCTAGACTTTTCTAAATGTGTAGATGTTGATTACATTTATATCTGTGCACAAGATGTGTGCCTGGTGGTCAGCAGAGGCCAGACAGTTGTGAGCTACTGTGCTGGTACTGGGAATTGAACCTGGGTCTGGTGCTCTTAACCACTGAGCCATCTCTCCAGCCCCTCTCCTGACTTCTTAATCAGCTCTTATAACTCTCCTCTGGACTTCCATTTTGCTCCAAAGTCCTTGAAGGTTTCTTGTTACCTGTAACAGACTCACAAGATGGTGAGATAGGATCAAGTAAGAGAATGCGAAAAGAAGCTGGAAAAGGTCAAGGACCATTTAAACATGAAGGTTTTTTGGGAAGCTTTCAGCAGGTGATTCAAAGCAAAACAATAACAAAAGCCTTTTAAATGGAAACATTTGTTTCTTTCTGTTCTTTCCCCTTCTCCACACTAAGTGATTTCCAGCATGAGTATTCCTAGAACGCTCTCTGAGAGTCAGCGTTAGAGCTTCTGCGGAGCAGTTTTTCTTTCTATTCTCCATTGTCTGGTCAGAAACTGAAGAGAACATTGTTGCTGTTAGCCTTTGTGCTTCTATAATCTCAGTGTCTATGCAAAGCCGGGAACCAGTAGGAGCTGGCCTGCCTCATGGCCACCCCACTGCCCACAAATAAGAGGCTAAACATATAAAATAATAAGATTTTTAACAAAAATAAAAAAAAATCATGAGCTAGCTCTTTTCCCCCAGGTCCTTTGGAGACTCTAACAAACTGGAGTGAGTCTCTAAGCACACTGGATATTTCTTGGTTAGCACAGAACAAAAGGACAGCCAATTGTTTCTGCAGGACCTGCTGTTCTTTATTGTTGTCCTAGAAAAATTAAAGAACTGATTAGTAGGAACAGATCTCAAGATGAGTGGTTTACGTAAGCCATGGTTTGCTTGAGGGCATCACCACTGGAGGTTTGGCGGGAAGGTACTGTTCTACCCCAGTTGCTTCTCCCCTCAAACGAACCGAAACTTACTCTTGGTTTTTGAGTTCTAATCTGTGGTTGGCACAGTAAACCGAGTCCACATGGAAGTATATCTTTTGATAATCACAGCTGTCTTTGCCAGGGCACAGCAGAGAATGACACTGAGGTGCGAACTCGAAGCCCCTTCCGAACAAGCTCTCGCTGAGGCGTGATTGTTAATAAGATGCTAGAGAAGAACACAGAGGTTTTGAAAGCCAGAGGTCACCAGCACGGTACAAGCAGAAATCAATGACCTGCTGAATGAGAAATTCGAGTGTATTGTTGCTGTATCTGTCGGAATGCCTGAGGACCACGACAGATTGTAAACTAAAAGAAAAGTAATAGAGTTTAAGAACGGAGTAATTACAAATGAACCTGCAGTGTCTGAGTTTGGGATGATGTCTACAATCCCATAGTGGAAAAGTTAGATTAAGAAAATATACACAAAAAGGTCAAGATCATGACGGTACTGGAAGATGTTGGGACTGGGAGAATGGTTCAGTGGTTAGTGTTTACAACATAAGTGTGAGGTCCTGAGTTTGGATCTCCAGAACTCACATAAAAGCCGGGTGTAGTTGCACACACCTGTGACCCCAGGATTGAGGGGACCCAAACAGATGAATTCTGGGAATGTCAACCAGCCAGTCTAGCCAAAGCGTAAGCTCTAGGTTCAGTGAGAGAGCTTGTCTCAAAAAATAAGGTGGAGACATGATGGACAAAGTCATCCTGAGATCATTCTCTGGCCTCCACATGTACCTGTATGGCTAAATATATATCTTCTACCCCAGCACACACACACACACACACACACACACACACACACAAACACACACACACACACGAAAGAGAGAGAGATTCGAAGGGAGAGGTAGAGTTGAAATGAGCTGAAGTGTGTATCCTTCAGCACTTTTCCATCAAGTTGCCGCCAAAGAAGCATTGTTGTAATGAAATGAATTCAAGCCACTAAAGATGTCTGTGAACAGAGTGACCGAGTGAAGGGGCAATCCTATTTCATCTTCGAACATTTTCTCCCTGGACTGCAAAAGAAGTCTGAGTGTCATCAAGGATGAACTTTGAAATGTAGGGGCAGATTCTGCCTGACATATGTAAGATCCACTCTAAAGCAAATGTATTGCATAGTTTTGATGCTCGGGGAAAAGAAGACGAATGATCAACTGTTCCAGTTGTCCTAGGATTGAGGGATTCTCTAGGATGTGAGTCCATGATAAAGCTGAAGAAGTCTCAGACACCACCAACACTTTGACATGTGCTGATTACCCCGTTATGAGAGACCTGATCAGAAGTTAGGTCTTGCTAACAGAGACCTATGACACCCAAGTCAGAAGAGCACACCCCTCCTGTGTGGTTTGTTGGTTTTAGAAACAAAAAAGGCAGTCGGGCGGTGGTGGCGCACGCCTTTCATCCCAGCACTCGGGAGGCAGAGCCAGGCGGATCTCTGTGAGTTCAAGGCCAGCCTGGGCTACCAAGTGAGCTCCAGGAAAGATGCAAAGCTACGCAGAGAAACCCTGTCTCGAAAAACCAAAAAAGAAACAAAAAAGGCAAGATGGAGGCCTCAAATTTCTGTTCAAGTAGGTAGATGTCTCTCGACAGGTGCCTTCCTCTCATTGAATAGAGACCTTGAAATCTGCAAATATTAGGAGGCAATTGTGTGTGTGTGTGTGTGTGTGTGTGTGTGTGTG